GGGCTTTTTCCTATAGTAGAGGGACCAAAAAGGGTATTTAACCTTAATTAAATCAACAATCCGTGGTAATAGCGCCAAAAACTTGATGCACTAAAATCACTTTAGCAAGTGTACTAATCATTCCAAATAATATAATGATGACTAGAGTGGCAAACTTACAAGGATTGTGTCTAATTAAATACCAAAATAATTAATCTAAATTTATTTGAACTATCAAAAAAGAAGAAAGTTTAATAAAAAAATAATAAAAGGAAAATAACAATTAAAATAAAGCTAATGAAGATATGAGGTATTAAGGCATTGATTTCATCATAATCAATTAATATAAATTTTGCATTAATATACTTCCAAAACCAATTTATTAAGTGTTATTGCATGTGATAGCAGATTTCTCTAAATTAATTAACTAGCTTTCTCAAATCAAGTTAATTCTTCACTTGTTTGTTAAATTAATCATATCTCTATGTAATTTTAAACAAACTAATGCATATTAAATTATATGAAAACCTCTAGCTTAAGAAGGGAGAGCTCCTAACTATCTTCTTTTCCTCCACTACCACATATCAGCTAATTATTTTTCAGTCTCATAGTCTAGTACGCGGTTTATATTATTATTAATCTAATTTATGCAATTATTTCTTAAGTTCATGCTTAAATCACTAAATCAATTAAAATGTGATTAGTCTTCCAATGTATTAGATTCAATAATATAAACTCATCATACCAATAACTTTAATTGAAAACATAAAATCACAAAATCTATATTGAATTGATTAGGTTACATTGTAACCCTAGTAGAATAAATTAGTTCATAATAAAAATAATAAAATCTGAAATTATAATTATGAACATTTGAATGTCAAACAATAGATAAAAAAAATCAAAGGAGAAATAAAATCCAATTTGAAAAAATTGAACTCGTTAATCTTTTATTATTGATGGATCCTTTATGTTGATCTCCAAGAATGCCAAAAAAAAAGCTGCCACCAACCTCCACAAGCTCTCCAATCTGAATTTGGATGAGTATTTATAGGATTTTAGAAATCCTAATTAGAATAGAAGTGGAACCCACACTCAAAATAATAAATTAGTGAAAATTGCATGCGGAGGCAACACCTTCAACAAGGTGCCGACACCTTCTGGCCAGCGCACGACGCCATCACCGTGTTGGGTTTTTGGCTTTCTTAGCAATTTCTGTAATGGTAAAATAACAGTCTTGGCCCCTGAATTTTGGATTCTGCACAAGTTGATCCTCAAGTTTTTTATCTCAAACAATTTTACATTAATATGTATATAAATTCAGCTCATCAATATCAACTATGGTCATCTAAAAAAATAACATAGTAAATAAACTGATTTGTAGATTGAGTTGGAAAGAGTTCCCATAAGTCACAGTGAACTGTTTTTGAAATAACGAAGTAGCTCTTTCATTGCTCCTATTGAAAGGAAGTTTACAACTCTTCCCCATTTGGCATCCAATTCACAAAGATGGATTTTATTCCATTTTAAGACTGTAATATTGTTTTTGGAAGCTAAAATTTTTAAGACATTAGAATTTGAGTGTCCTAATCTCTAGTTCCAAATAGACTCTATGGCTTCATTTAAAATGGCTAAAAGAGCAAACTTCTCTCCTTCTTCAAGAACATACATCTATCCTTTCCTAGTTCCTTTTGCTAACACCACCCATGTTACTTGGTCCTTAATTACAAAACCATCAAATAAGAATTCAAATATGCAAGGATGATCATTAGTAAACTTACTAACTGAAATAAGATTCTTCTTAAGATTAGCAACAACGAGAACATTATTTAGTTTTAAAGGGCAAGTATATACCATACCAATATGTGATATATGTAATGGAGTGCCATCACCAGTGAAAACCTTAGTTTCCATGATAAGGTCTTTTGAAATGAAGTTTACCTGAATCTATAGTCATATTAGCACCTTTGTCAATGTAGACATTTTGGTCTTTGTCATCCATCATTATGAGTGCTACTAATGCCTGTGGTAGATCTTCACTTTGATATGCATGATCAAACCCATACCAACACTTTAATGCTGTATGACCTACAATTCCACATATTTGATAGGGATTCTCACATTTTTGTGTATTTTTCAATTGCAATCTTTTGAGGCATGGTTTGTTGTGGTGATGGGTTATTGGTCATCAAGTTATTTATGTTATTATGGTTGGACCAGCTATGATTATAATTTCCAACTTAGACAAATTCTCTTCCATGAGAATTAAAGTGTTTGCTATTGTATCCTCTACCTCGATTGCTTTTCCCCCTTTGTGCCACAAAGACTTGAGAGTATGCTAGTTCCTTATCCTTGCTTTCTTGGTTTGCTGCTTGTAAGTCCCTTTCATTATTTTGCAATCCTATAGTGTACTAGTTGAAGGTGGGATATGATGCCATTGATAAAATTGCAAGGTTGTATGGTTGATATTTGGTTCCAACTGATGAATTAAAATCACCTTAATAGGTATACTAGTCGCTCTAAGTAATATAATAATGAGAAAAGTGTCAAACCTATGAGGATTGTGTCTAATTAAATATCAAAATAATTAATCTAAATTTATTTGAACAATTGAAAAGGAATAAATTTTAATTAGAAAAATAATAAAAAAATAATAATTAAAATAAACCTAACTAAAATATGAGATATTAAGGTATCGACTTCATCATAATCAATCAATATAAATTCTGGATTAATATACTTTCAAAACCAATTTATTGAGTGTTACTGCATGTGATAACAGATTTTCCTAAATTAATTAATTAACTTTTTCAAATCAAGTTAATCATTCACTTGTTTGTTAAATTAGTCATATTTTTATGTAATTTTAAACAAAATAATAAGTATGAAATTCTATAAAAACTTCTAGCTCAAGAAGAAGGAGCTCATAACTCTCTTCTTTTCCTCCACTGCCACATGTGAGGTAATTACCTCTCGATCTCATAATCTAGCACACGGTTTATATTATTATTGGTCAAAGTTATGAAATTCTTTCTCAAGTTCTTGCATAAATTACTAAATCAATTGAAAAGTGATCAGGTTTCCAATACATTAAGTTCAATAATATAAATTCATTATGCAAATAATTTTAATTGAAAGTATAAAAATCACAAAATATATATTAAATTAATTAGACTATATCATAACCTTAATAAAATAAATTAGTTCATAATAAAAATAATAAAGTCTAAAATCACAATTATAAACATAAAAATATCTATAAAAAAATAAAATTTAATTTGAGATAATTAAAATTCTTGATTTTTATTATTGATGAATCTTCTATTTTGACTTCCAAGCTCCTCTTCGTTCTGAATTTGGATTATTATTTATAAAATTTTGGAAAACTTAATTGAAATAGAAGTGAAACCCATAATAACCAATTAAACATGGATTTTGCGAAAACCGCATAAGAGGTCAACACCTTTAAAAAGGTTCTGACACCTTCTGTTCAGCACACAGCACCACCACCACCTTGTCGAGTTTTCTGGCCTTCTCAGCAATTTTTGTTTATGGTAAAATTACAGTTCTAGTCCCTGACTTTTGGATTCTACACAAATTAATTCTCAAATTTTTTATCTTTTAAATTTACTCTTAAAAATTAGATTTTCTTCCAATTAAGTCTTTTCTTATACAAATAATAAAAATTATGTAAAATTAAATAAAATCTTATAAAACTTATTCAAATATCAATAATATCAAAGCAAAAATTTTACATTAATATCTATATAAATTTAGCTCATCACCAACAACTCTAGACAATTGAAATACCTTGTCCAAGTCATCGAGAGGCTTGTGGATTGTAGCAAACCTATCATAGATGCCCTTGAATTTCCTAGTGAAGCTTTCAATTGGTTCATTGTCTCCCCTTTTGATTGCTAACTATCCTTTGAGATGCGACTCTTGTCCTTTGGTAAAGCTAGATAGTGCTCTTCAAGACATTTCTAAACTTGAGATGCTATATCGCATCCAATCACCAGATTCAATGCTTCCTCATTCATGGTCATAGGCAACCAACTAGTTAGTAGTCCATCATTGTTTGGCCATACAATAAAGTCTGGATTTGGCTCCTCCTCACAGTCCTTTATGATGCATTTTTCTGGTACTCTTCCTTCAAGGTGATGCATCAGTTGGGCACTCCTAATTAATGAAAGGCAAAAATATGACATAAGGACCCGAACTTACACAAAATTCGTAATTTTGGACCCGAACTTCAATTGCACTCAATTAAGGTCCTGAACTCCACAAAATTCTCAAATAAGGTCCCAATTGGACGGAAAATTAACTTCCGTCAAATCTTGCACACACCGTTAATATTCCGTCACACCATTAATGCCTGTCCTAGTTTTTTTTTTTTTTACCCTCTCTTTTCCTTTCTCTTT